CCTAAACGCTAAAACAAGCCAAAGTCAACGCACCGCTTGCTCGACACATCCAAGCCTGAGGCAGGCTTGGTGAAGATCCCGGACTCAGCTCGCTTTTCGCATTTTTGAGATGGTGCGCTGGAGTTCACCCGATGTTTCCCGCACAAAAAAGGGGCCCGTGCTGGCCAGAAAGAACCTCACCGGCGCGCTTCCTCGGCGCGCGACACCTAGTCTCCATGAGGTTCGAAACCTGGGGACACCTCTGTCAGGGGTCATGGGGGCCTGATACTCATGTTCGAAACCATGGTGGCTGCTAATCAGTTGGGGTCATGATTGGGTGTTCAAATCAGTTTCGAAAACGGATCATGGAGCCTGGTATGTGCTCGCGAGTTTACTCGTAATGCTTTGTCTCTGAGCGTGGATAGGCCAAAACTCCAAAGGACTCTGTCTTGCTCTGGAGACGCCGGAAAATTTTCAAACGGGTGTGGGTGAAAATTAAACCATTATGGGACCGCAGGTTGTAGTCCTTGTTTCCATTTACTGTTATAGGTGCCATTTGGGGTTCCTATTTTTGACCCACACCCATATGCAGACCAAACCAGCTCGGGCAGTTGCCCGGAGATGGTTTTGCTGCTTGTCCAGCTCTGAGAACTTTTGTATACAGCTTCCGTCGAATGCACCCAGGGCTACCACAAGGGTTTGACTCGAAGTGCATGTTGCAAGCCAACAAAGCGACGAGTAGTTTCATTGAAGACGCCATCTTCCAAAGAAGTTGTGCATCTGCGTCTAGCTCCGAGCAAAAACGGAAGACAACACCAACAGCAGCTGCAAGTTTAGTCTACAGATGAGTCGAGTTTTTTGTTTTTTGTCTCTTGGTCGATGCCAAAACTTCCATGAGGATTTCTGTTTCGGCCTTGTAAAAGCCATGTGGCTGTTTGGGTTCAAAGCGTGGGTTTGGTATCAGCACCGGAATGGCCATGGGTCAAAATCCCGTACCCAGTGAACATCCCAATCCAACCACTAAAATAAAGCCTAGAAATGGGTGGTGAATTCACCAATCCCAACCAAAATGGTTGATCAACCAAAACGGTTTTGAGAACCACAGCCGAACGTGCGCTTCACCCGCCCACAGATTCGCTTTTTTGTTTTTTTTGCCAGGTGCAGCTCTCGCGCTTCAAGCTACTGAGGGGCAAGTACGAGTTCTGGCTGGGCAAGGCGCTGCGTTTTTTTTCTTTTTTTTTTTCTCGCCCGCACGTCCGAATGGCTGTGGTCAAAACCGTTTTGGTTGATCCCAGTTTGGTTGGGATTTGTGAATTCACCACCACTTTTAGGCTTTATTTTAGTTTTTTGGATCGGGATGTTCACTGGGGGTACGATTTGGATTTTGACCCATGGCCAAGTGGCCCACGACCGAAAAGCAAACGGCTTAGATTCGCACGAGAAGGGGTCGAAGGGGTCGAAGGGGTCGGGCGCAGCGTCTTTGGAGCAAATTGCAAGGACTCCAACACCCGAAAGTTCGGGAGAGCCATAGTGACACCCACATATCTGCCTGGGGTCGGGAGACACTTTTTGAAGGCAGGTTCAATGTTTGGGGCGAAGTGGATACATGGTACGTCTTTGGCTGGTCAAGTCTGCTTAGTGATGGAGTCATAAAATGATGGACAGCATGGACTTTCAACATCCTCCATTTGCCGACAAAACGATGGAATGGACGGGGGGAGAGAAAAGTTGCGCTTTGCTCAGGCATGTTGCTGCCTCAAGCACCCCCACCACATTAAACCGCTTGGTTTACTAGTCGGGTCGACACCCTCCACCCGTCGCAGCTGGACGTGAGCGCGCTCTCCACCCGCATCAAGGCTTGCGGTGTGTGTGTGTGTGTGTGTGTGTGTGTGTGTGTGTGTGTGTGTGTGTGTGTTTTCAAGAGCCCTTTTCACCACCTCCAGCACAAGAAGCGTCCCGAAGAAGGGTAGAGCCTAGTTTGGTCAGTGGGCGAGCCAGTCAAGTTGTGACTGGTGTTCGAGCTGAAGCCACCATTCGACAGGCTGCAGAAGAAGCCAGCATTTTTATTGGGGGCATCCGCGTCCAGAGTCCGGAAAGACACGAACAATCTCTTTCTGGGGGGCAACGACCACCAGGCAACCTTGACCTCATTTGAGCGACAATCAAAACCCGGCTAGATGAAGGTTAGTCAGGGACAATCCCAACCACAAATAGTTGCGGATATCCGCCTTCATAATTCTTCACATGGTTCTGGGTAGACCATTTTACTACCCATGTGTCCCGACCTTTATGACTCAACGAAGACCTGTGACCAGACCTTTACTCTGGGCAGACCTTCACAAGGGTTTTGACTAAGACTCTCATGGCGCTCTTGCCCCAAACATTGGGATATGAGATGCTCGCTGATCCCATGTTCTTCGCTGATCCGGAACTTTGTGCAGAGGGTTTTGACTACTCGACGCGGTCAGGAGCTCGCGCCGGCGGCTTCGGTGGTGGTGCCGGGACCTTGGCACCCGCCTTCCAAGGCCACGGCGGCCGATGTGAAGAACGGGAGCTGCACAAGGGCAACGCACAGTTTTGGCGGTTGTGGTTCAACAGGATTTGCCTCTCAAGATATTTCGTTCGCTTGTTTTGTTTTGGGGGGGGGGATGTGTTTGGTTCAACAGGAGTTGCCTCTCAAGATATGTTGTTTTCATTCTTGTCCTTTTTTTGTTCTCATGGGAGGGGGGCTGGAAGTCTCCGGGTGACACTCAACCCGCAAAATCCACGAGGGGGTGAGTGAACTTTCCCCTTTGCTTCGCTTTTTCAGGCCAAATGGAAAAGCCTCCCGTTTCCAAGGCGTGCCCTTATTTTAGGAAACACCCAAGTGTTGTTGGAGCCGGGATTGTCTCAGAGTGGACTGAATTTCTTTCTCCCTACGCTTCCCTGTCACCCCCGCCAGGGAGGGGGGGGGGGGCAGGGTATCTGCGAAAGGCAATCCAGGCTGCACCCGAGCCAATCATCCAACCCCCCAATCCACCCACCCATCCACATCCATCCATCCATCATACAAAGGGCTCGATCTCTTCTTGCAACCAAACTTCGATGCGCAAGCTGCCGGGCTCGATTTTTTCTGGGTACTGGATTGAGACAGTGTCCAGTTTGTGAGGCCCAGCTTGCCCAGCCACCCACAAACGGAAGTCTGCCCGGAGAGCGGCTGAACCGAGGTTCGTTGTGCATGATGGAATGCGACGTTGCAGAACCCGAGCCCAGCATGCAACTTCATCCAGCGATATTTCCTTCGGACTGCCACCTTAAAAACATCTCGACACCAGAAGACAACTGCGAGAACACCGTTTGCAAGGTCAGACACGCATTTGGCACTTGGCATCTGCTTGTAAAGTGTCTGCCCGTTCCTGGTTTTGCCGCGGCCATTGGGGCTTGTAGCTTTAGTTTTTTGAACCCAAGGTTTCACGGTTTCACTCTTCATAAGCCAACCAAAGAGTGTCTTTTTCCCCACCACTCTTTTTCTTCCGCCTTTCCAACACAGCGACTCCCAACATTCCATTTCTGCATTTCCTACGCTTGTCCAAGCATCTTAGGGTCTTGCGAAGCTTAGGCAGGACATCAAACCGTTCCATGTTTCCCTGGTGGACGCCGTCAAAAACGGGTGGCAACACTTTACGCGTCAGACTGTCAGGACTTGGCCGATTCTCCCACAGCAGAGGTCGCCCAGCAAGGATCCGCCCAGCGCAGGGAAGCTTCTCCCGAGGTGTCGCCATTGCAGTCTCTGCGATACTTGGGGTCCGAACAAGTTGCATTAAAACAACACCAAGGCGCAAAGCGTGTTTTTTAAAGTTTCCCTTCTTTTTTTTGGTTATTTACTTAGTAGGTTTATTATTTTAATTGTTTAAGGGTACCTTTTAGTTTGGATGCCCTAGGGAGAAGCGTCGGATCATTCGGATGCCTTTCGGAGCGCACGAAGCAGATCCGCCGACAAAAGCTCCGCGCGATGGAGCGCCATGGCCGTGCGAGGCAGACGGCGTGGGGTGGGATGGGGTGGGGGTCGGGTGGGGCGTGGGGGGGGGGTGGGGGGCAGCTCTTGGCTGAGGTCGCAATCAAAACCCGGGTTGAAGAACAGACTTTAGCGGGACAGTGCTAGCAATTCTTGGTGCGGCCCTCTGGTTTCTGCATTTTTGAGGGCCAAACAGGCGACCACTTGTACTGGTCAGTCAATTCAGCAGGTCAGACTTTGCGTGAGAGTCTTAGTTCTTCGTTCAGACTCCATGATGAGACTCTGTAGACTCAATTTGGTAGCCAGCATCCATATCTGAGGCGTTTCTGTCCAGCTTGTCTGCATTCTCCCGTCCATGATCTTGTGCCCAGTTATGTACCGCTATCGCGGTGTTTGCATGGTTGCTGCCAAACAAAAGCTGTTATGCGACTCGAGTTGGAATGACAAGACTGAAAGAGCTCAATAGATATGGCAGTGGGTCAAAACCAATGGTACCATTTTGGGGCAGGTGCACCACCCATGTTAGTCTATTTTAGTGTGGATTGAATCGGATGTTCACTGCTGACCGATTTGGATCTTGAAAAGCCCATGGCCCAGACCTGGGGTGTCTGCCATTTGGACCTGCGACTTGTCTTGCAGCCTGGTTTCGGGCCTTGGATCGAGTCCCAAGTTCCAGAGTCAGGCCGGATAGGCTTGGCGAAGGGGAGGCCGAGTGCCGTAAGGAAACGGCACCTTTGGCAGACGGCTCCTTAAAAGAAGTCTCCATTTTGCCCACCATTTGAAGCATGTGGCTTTTTCAGCACCAAGATAAAGTTGGAACCCACCATTTACAAGTTGCAATGTTCAGGTGTTTTTTATTTTATTTCAAGGATCCCTGTTTGGGAGCTTTCCCTTTTTTTGGTGCCAGGTGGTCATAGGCAAGGCGACTTCCGTCGGACTGCCTTTGCTCTTTTTTTTCTTTTCCGGCAGCTGAAAGATCTTTGGAATTCCTTGCCCATTGGCGTTCTTTGTTCGAGACGCGGCTCCGGTGGTGGGGTTTGGGGGCCGGAAAATCGGTTGCTGTTGGGGATACCACTAGTCACCAATGCAGAGGAACAAACAACGATGCTAACCGATACTAGCGTATGAGGATACAAGGGTGTGTCTCTGGACCCCCGCAAAATGATGGCTTTCCTCTGGACTTCCCTTTACCACCAAAAAGGGGTTTCCCTCCAAAAACAAGGACACACCCACATGTGTTCTCCACGCGTTTTTTTGCTTTTCTCCAAGCTGACCTGGGCTGATGGTGTCACGCCATTCTCGCCGGAAGCTGAAGCTGAGCTCAAGAAGCGCCATGGAAGAGCTCAACAAGTCCCTGCTGGAGGCCGAAGGGGCTGGGGGGGACAGAGGAGTCCCCGAGGTCTAGGGGCCAGGATTTCCCACAAATTAAGAAACGTGCCCCCCTATAACAAACATATGATGAACATACATATATATATATATACCAAGGTAGACCTAAGCCCAGTGGTTCATTTCCAGAGCCCTGGCTTAAGTCTGCCTAGTCAAAAAGTGGAACCCTGAGCACAGCCCTTCTCGGGCCGGCTTTTCCACAGTGAGCCAAAGGAAACCACATGTCTCCGCCCGGAAGGGGCCCTAGAGTTCCCCACCGTTCTTGGCCCATAGGTGATGCTCAAGGGAAATATGTCTATATTTGTATGTGTATATATATATGTATACATGTACATAGGGGGAGTCTTGCTTTCGAGCACGCCAAAAACATGTTGTTGTTTTTCTCTTGGTATTCTTTAAAACCACGAAAAAACACCCCAAAATACATATATATATATATATACAGGCATGTGGCTAATCCAAAACCCTGGCGCTGGTACCAGGCTCAATCCACATTGCGCGTTAACATGCAAGATCACGGCCTGGCTTGAGCACATGTTTGCTATGTGCGGCCTCGAAGGAGATTTCCCTGGAGGACTCGTTCATTTCCTGATTCCAGAAGAACCCGTGATGCTTTCTCAAGGTGCGGTCACTAACCGTGCATGGACAGTTCTATTGTATATTTTCCGGACCATAAATAGCCTCCAAGTGACGCTCGCCGAAGTTTCCCACTTAGGCACCACTGGGGTTTTAGCACACCAACTTTCAATTGGCTCCGCCTCCTCCTTTCATCCACCCAGGTCCCAAACTTTTGCTTGGACAAGGCTTTGCCTCCAGACGGCTCATTTTCATACGCCCAAAGATTGGGAACGACCCTGTGACACAATGTTTGTCTTTTGGGATACCCTCATCCTCCACCCGTAGCCTCACTCCCAACAGCTGTTTGGGTCCCTAAACGCCCAGGCGTTTTCGGCAGGCGCCAACTCCCCTTCCGTTGAACAGTTCTATTGCTATTGGGTTCCCTATGTGGGTGCCCTTTATCTTCCTCAAACACTGGCATGTAGGGAAGCCTGCGTCTTTCACACCCCTTGGGTCTTTTCCAAGTTGCTCAGGTCAAGCAAGAGCCTGAAACAGAACAAAGCCCTGGCCCAACACCTTCCCCCAAGCCCAAAACCGGCCCTCTGCCTCAGAGCCAGCCTCAAACCTACCCCAAACCCTAAGCCACCCAAACCACCCGCAACGCCCAGCCGCCCAGCCGAAACAACGCGCCGCCCGAAACGCCAAACCGCAGGCGGCCTCCCGGGTGGACCTGGAGCGCGTGAGGGAACTCCTGCAGAGCGGCGCGGAGGCACCGGTCCGCGACGGGGGCCACGGGTTGGGTGCGGGGGGGGGGGGGGGTGGCCGCGGTTGTTTGGATCCCAAACCTACCCCCGCCCCGTCTTTTGGTTGGAGGTGAACTTTCCTTTTTGTTGTCTCTCCTTGACAAAAACACCACAAAGAATGCTTAAAAGATGTGAACTTGTCACGCCGGAAGCAGGTGTCCTCTGCTTGTTTCTTGCAAACACCACCAAAAATGAGGAGGGGGAGGGATGTGAGCTTATCACGGCCAGAAGCAGGCAAGCGGTGTCCATTGACACATTCCACAGAAGCCATACCCTTCGACCCCCAAGCTCCGCCGACTGGCCGCAGGCGAGCTTCATCGACGACCCGGAGGGCGTCTGGGGCGCGAGGTCCAAGAAGGGTCCCCTGCACGTGGCCCTCAGCGGCTCGGCTTAGCTGGGTGGCTCACGGCGAATCGTCGGGTTCCTTAGGTTTTGAGTTTTTTGAACTTTTTGGGGTTTAGTTGGGGTTTGGTTTTATCTGAACACTTTGAGCTTTTTAACATGTTTCGTGGTTGGGTTTCCGTTTATCCCACCAAAAGTTTTCAACTTGTAGCATCTGAGGATAGCCCAGATAGTTCGGGATCCACATGATGTGTCTTAAGAGTGACCCACCCAAAAGTGATAGGTCTCCAGGTGGTTCCCTTTAAAAACCACACCCAAAGTCGGGCTCCATCAAAACGACACCCTTTTGAAGTGAGTGCACTTGGCATGCCACGGAGGCGCCCTAACTGTCCTTGGAACGAAGCTCTGTTCCAGTTAAGTTTCTCGGTTGCCGGTGGAATTCATCTAATGTTGACCCAGGATTAATAAACCCGTCCCATTATTAGGGGGGTGTTCCCTCCAAGAGTCATGAATCCCCACTAAAAGGGGACACCCCCCAATCATGTAGAAATCCGAGGGTAACGTTACTCCAAAAGCGGGCAGCAGGCGCTCTTTGGAACACGGCAACCTGGAGGCGTTTTGATTCGCCACGTGCTGAAGATTCAGAGAGGAACCCGCAAGCGCACCACAAGTGGAGGAATCACTGGAGGGTTCCAGAAGCTTTCGGGCGGGAGTGATTTGTTGGGGTTATCTTCCATTTGCCTAAGAACATGTTTTATTTTCTTCTGCTGGTGTTAAAAGGAATCTATCACTACTGGACATATTTTCTCATTTTTGTCCGGTGGACAGCAAATGAAAGTTATCCAAAATGGTTCTACATTCCATGTCCCCTGGGCAAATGAGGCATCGACTATGCGACCCTCCAAACGTGACATGCGAGTCTTCAGGTCAGCCAAGCCAAATTCAAGACTTGGGCAATTGGCGGTCATGGCGGTGGTTTTGTTTTCTTCTTCTTTTTCTCCCCCATGGACTTGTTGTAATTAGGCTGTGGTGATTCCCTACCATAGGTTTGAGCATGCGTCACATGTCCTTCAGTGGCTTGGCTCTGATGCAAGTTTCTGCGCATGTCCAAGCAAGGAAGCTGCGACTTCCAACGAGAACCAACAGGAAACCGCAAAGCCATGAGGGGGGCAAGCTTCACTTGTTCAAAAATAGAAGTTAGAAGTAGTGCACCAGGATTTCTCATACTTTTTTGCAGCTGATGTGCTTGCTTTGCTTGTAACACGGCGGCATAGTTTGTGGACGTTTCGCGTGAAAATTATAGATTGATTGCAAACTGACTCGCTGGCTTGTCAAACCGGCGCAGTTTCTGCCCGGTTTACTTGCAAATGGGTATACCCGAGAGTTGGACATTCTGGTGCTTGGCCACGAGTGGAGCACGAGCTGAGCTTTCCACACAGCGACCACAAATTGGAACTCAGCGGCAACTTCCCATGTTCCTCACACGGCAGATCGGTTTCTGGAGAATGCGATCCTAGTGAGTCGGTTGATCAATGGGTCCTTGGGAGCTCCTTGATCCTAATGGAGAATGACATAGGTGTCCTTTTTAGATGTTTTGCTAGAAAAATAGATGGCGATTCCTGGTTTGGTTTAATCATCTACCAGGGAAACCCATCTATTTCCCCTACAAGGACACCTATGGAGAATGACATCCGAAGGGAGCTCCTTTAATGAGTCGGCTTGTTGGCTCGGCCGGTCTTTTTGGGGGCAGCAAACGAGCGGGACTTGCTCACGCTCCGGCCGGGGCCTGTCACTGCCAAGCCTTTTGCCGCGCGAAGCAAAAGGGGAAAAAGGGGAGGTTTCAACATGCACCAGCCGGTTGGGATCAACCATGGGCCGTCGCACCCTTTAGATCTTAACACCTATGACGGTGAAAGACGGTGACGGCCCATGTTGCAGATTTAAAGGGTGAGTGTGACGGCCCATGTGCCATGTTTGATCTAAAGGAAAGGTGCCATCTTTGGATCAATGGAGTGTGCCACGGTGAAAGACGCCGAGGAAAGCGACCCTACAAGTCCGACGAGGTGGATTCGACCTCCTACCAAGATCAGCTGAACAACTGGACCCAGGTGGGTCTCTGTCAAGTAGGGCCACTTCAAGACAATTGGGTTCATCTTGGCCAAACAAATGTTGGTTTCCCCTCAAAGTTCAAGGGAATCCTACCTGGTTCATCTTTGCAGGTGATTCGCACGCTCATCGAGGCGCGCGCGGACGTCAACGAGGCCAGCGAAGAGTACGACTGGCGCGGCTGCGGCCACACGGGCACGGCCTTCGACTTGGCCATGCCCTACGTCACGCAGAACTCCGCCTTCTTGGAGCCTCGAAATGACCCTCATAGGTGTCCTTTTTTGGGGAGTTTCTGTGGGGCTTGGTGTACTCCCCATTGAACTTGGGCTTAAATTAGCCCACCCAATTTGACTGATTTATGCCCATAAGTGTCCTTTTTGGTTTGTCTGGTTGAAAAATAGAGGGCGATTCCTGGTTTAGCGGGAGGTTCAATCATCTACCAGGGCCATATAGTTTCCAAAGTTTCCCGTTGGGGCGCTCCTCTTACCCCCAACATGGTGCAACTCGTTTCCCTCAAAACGGTGATAAGGGCTGAACCGCCTGAACGGGTTGCCTGAGGAGCTGTTCCTCACTGCCGGCGCGGACCCCAACACCAAAGCCATCCAGGACGTCCACTCCATGCGCACCGACGGGCGCTCCGAAAAGCCCATCCTGCACGAGGCAGTGAGGGCCGGGAACTTTGAAGCGGTGAGGCGGGCGGGCGGAAAAAATTGAGCCAGCGGCTGAATCTGAAAGGCGTTTTTTTTTGGAAAAGAGAAGGAATTGAAGAGGTAAGTTTGTTTTTGATTTGAAAAGCCGAGGAATCTAACAAATATGTATGTGAAAGAAACCGGTTGATATGGAATACTGTTTGAATTCGCTATCTGCCCCTGGCTGGACACTCTCGAACCCATTTGTTGGGGCCATAGCCTAGGTCCAAACGTGTCCAACCTGAGACAGCTGAGTTGTTGAAGCATGTTTCAGCCCTGATTTCTCTTCAACACAAAATCGTCGTTTTCCTTTTGGTTTCCCTTCAAACTAAAATCCAAGAAAGGCCTCCTGGGTTTCTCTTCAACACAAAATCGTTGTTTTCCTTTTGGTTTCCCTTCAAACTAAAATCCAAGAAAGGCCTCCTGGTTTCTCTTCAACGCAAAATCGTCGTTTTTCTTTTGGTTTCCCTTCAAACCAAAATCCAAGAAAGGCGTCCTGGTTTCTATTCAACACAAAATCGTCGTTTTCCTTTTGGTTTCTCTTCAAACCAAAATCCAAGAAAGGCCTCCTGGTTTCTCTTCAACGCAAAATCGTCGTTTTTCTTTCGGTTTCTCTTCAAACTAAAATCCAAGAAAGGCCTCCTGGTTTCTATTCAACACAAAATCGTCGTTTTTCTTTTGGTTTCCCTTCAAACTAAAATCCAAGAAAGGCCTCCTGGTTTCTCTTCAACACAAATCGTCGTTTTCCTTTTGGTTTCTCTTCAAACTAAAATCCAAGAAAGGCCTCCTGGTTTCTCTTCAACGCAAAATCGTCGTTTTCCTTTTGGTTTCCCTTCAAACTAAAATCCAAGAACGGGGATACCCCCTACTCCAAATACCCTCTTTTTTCCAGGGTGTCATGTCGACAATGTCGACCCTCTACTAAAAAGGTTTGGTATTTACCATGGAAAACCAGGTATGTCCCCAAACATACCCTGAAAAAAAGAAGAAGGTATTTTGACTAGGGGCTCTTGCTCAACACAAACCGACGCCCAGTGACTTCCGTCGCTTTTTCCGCGAAACCCCAGGGCCCTGCTGGACCACGGTGCTCGGGCGGACGCCTGGTCTCTGGAGCAATTTTTTAATGAGCGGGGCTTCAACCGGAACTCGGCGCCTCGGTGTCTGGAGCCCCGGAGTTTTTTTTTTTTTTTTTTTTTTTTAATTTAAGGTCCTGAAAATGGATGGGTCTGTTCAGGGCTCCTGAAAATAAATTCATGTTGCCACCATTTGAAACATGTGGCTTTTTCCACCAAAATAAAAGGACACCACTTTTTACAAGGCACTGTTCAGGTGTATAATGTAAGGATCCCTGCACACTGTTGGGTACTGTATGTTGGGGTTCATGTGGCCATGGTTGTCAAAATCCAAATCGGTTCGCCCCAGTGAACATCCCGATCCAACCACTAAAATAGGTTCAAAAATGAGGGGTGAATTCACCTACCAACCAAAATGGGATCCCATTGGTTTTGACCCGTAGCCATACTGTGGATGGACGAAATCCTGCACCACCTAAGAACCCCCGGATTGGTGATTCCCCTGTAAATGCCAATAAACAATGGTTTCCAATGGTTTCAAAGGGGTGCGAACGGATATCGTCCATCCACAGTATGTTTGTGTCCTGAAAAAGAGAGCCCTATCTCGTTCAAGATTGGCTGGGTTGCAACTTCTGGGGGCGAAACCGAAAGTAAACCAACCTGTTTTAGACCGCCGAAGAACCTTTTTCTTCACTGCTCTTGGCATGTTTTTTTGGATTTTTGTTTGCTTTGGTTCTGTTCATTTTTGCTGGGGGTCTGCAAAACACAACAGTTTTTCGCTACCATACCAAGAGTAGAGATGTTTTCGTGCTTTTTGGGCGTCAACTTCGCCATTGTGCATTGATTCGCATTTTGTTTCCCGCACGGGTCCCGGGTTGCCACCATTTGTCCGACGCATCATTTTCCCAGGGCCGGCGCCTCCTTCTTCCTGAGACATGTCAGATGCATCACGTCCCAAAAACTTGACGCCAGCAATCTTCCACGGACTGTGGTGGGGTTGGTCAGTTGCCAAAGCGGTTGATTGGTTTTCTTTGTCTATGTGTGTTGTTCCACTTTGTTTGTTCGTGTGTGTGTGTGTCTTATACCTCAAGCCCCCAAGATTGGAGGTTTGGGTTTGGTGGAGGGCGTGCACCTCCCCGAGCACCAAAGGGTGATCATGCTCGATTTATTTGCCATGCCTCGCCTCTTTGGGAAATATGGGGCTTTCTGCTGGGAAAGCACTCTTCAGGTGGCTTGCTACGGGAAATAAGACCCTCTCCTTTTTTCTCTGGGCAAAAACAGAGGCAAACCAACCACACGGCTGGCTACTTCTGGGTTCTTCTGGTTTTGGCGCTTTCCGTCTCAGGCGGAGACGGCGCTGCACCTCGCGTGCGAGCGGAAGGACCTGGCCGTCTGCGCGCTGCTGCTGGCGCGCGGGGCCAGCGCAGCTCGGAGCAGAAGACACGGCGTGTCGCGGGAGGAGTTCCGGTGGGGCTTGGTGTGGAGCAGGGAGGATGGGTGGGCTTTTCCGCCGGAAAAAGATAGGGGAGCAAGAAAAATAGGCAGGAGCACAAAGGTGAAGCAGGGACGACGGGTGCTGTTTTTCCTCCGCAAAACAAAGGAGGGAAACAAGAAAAAAGCGGGAACATGAAGGAAGCAAGAAGCGAGGAACAGCAGCCCTCGAGTTTTTTTTTCTCCTCTTGGTTTCCAAAAGTTGGGAGGAGTGTTTGTGAGTCGTCTCGGCAGCCTACTCAGACTGGGTCAAAACATTTCGGACATGTGCCTTGGTCGGACCCCGCGTTGGTAGTGGCTATCTAGCCTGCGATTTTGGTGAGAAAATTGGCGACCCCCTTAAAAAGGAATCCTTCACTACGTGGGGGTCGAACAAATTTCCGCAACAGGTGGCGAAACGACCCCCCTGCTTGCCATGACCACGCAAACGCAGTTTTGGGAAGCTGCAAAGCAGTTTTTTTCTAGGGATCCTTCTTTTCAGAAAACCACCAAACACCCTGGAAAAATGGCGATCGGTGTTTGAAAAGAACGATGGCCGAAAAGAATGGAAAAGGACTCAACCCCTAGACCTTTGGATCCTTGAAAGGCTGTGTAAGGGGGCCCCCCCCCAATTTTAGGCAGAGGATTCCTAGCCATTTAGGCCATTTAGGGGGGCTGCAAAGCAGTTTTGCCTTTGGGTTGCTGCCCAGTTGCGAGTTGCGCGGCTCAACGGTTGCAAGTCGCACGTGCGGCTTGCTTGGCTACGCGGGAGGTCGATTCGTTCGCCACTCCACACCTTGGAGCGGAGAAAATTCGGTCAGCCAGCCAGGGGATATGGGTGTGTCTTTTTTTGAGGGCACCAGTTTCTTTTTTGGGGGGGATGCTAAAAGGGAAGCCAAAGAGAAACTACTGTTTTTTTCTTTGTTTTGGGGGGTGTCCCCTTGCACAGCCTTTCAAGGATCCAAAGGTCTAGGGGTTGAGTCCTTTTCCATTCTTTTCGACCATCGTTCTTCTCAACCGGTGGTTTTCACTGGGTGTCTTGGTTTCCAGAAAGATTCGGATCCCTGGGTTAAGAATGCAAATGGAAGGTACCCCTATAAAAGGCCCGAAAAGGAGTTGGAGCTCCGGAGACTCTTGAGCTCAGGTGGATGCCATACGGAAGCGCACCGAGCACGTGGACTCGGGCCGGCGCTCCCCTACCGACGACCCCCGGGAGGACGGCTTCGTGCCCTCGGTGATTTGCGTTCCCATCGAGGCGGACCTGTGGGTGGGGGGGAGGGGGGGGACCCGTGGGGCGGCCAAGATGTGAGTTAGTTCTTTTTCTTTTTTTTGGTGCACCAGCCACCCACGTCGCTTGTAAGCGATTTGGAAGCTGCGGCAACTGCGGCGGCAACTGAAGAAGAAAAAGAAGAGGACCAGAAGAAGAAGAAGAAGACGAAGAAGAAGAAGAAGAAGAAGAAGAAGAAGAAGAAGAAGAAAAAGAAGCAGAGGAAGAAGAAGAAGAAGACGAAGAAGAAGAAGAAGAAGAAGAAGAAGAAGAAGAAGAAGAAGAAAAAGAAGAAGAACAGGAAGAAGAAGAAGCAGAAGAAGAAGACGAAGAAGAAGAAGAATAAGAGGAAGAAGAAGAAGAAGAAGAAGAAACAGAAGAAACATAATAAACATAATAAACAGAAGAAGCACGCACGGAAGCAGAACCGGAAGCAGAGGCGGAACCAGAGCCAGAACCAGAATCAGAGTCAGAAGAATATCCGACGACAAGATGAGGAAGAAGAGGCGAATGCTGCCGGCCAGTTGCTCGCCTCACGAACTTTGGCGCTTGACATGTCGGGCTCGGGTTGGGCGTTGGAATGTTAGGAGACGGCGCTGCATATGGCCATCATGCAGAAGCAGCCGGAGTTGGTGACCCTGCTGGTTTGTGCCGGTGCAAAGGAGCTGCCAAGGAGGGAGGGAGGGAAGGGAAGGGAAGGGAAGGGAAGGAAAGGGAAGGGAAGGGAAGGGAGGGGAGGGGAGGGGAGGAAAGGGGAGGGGAGGGGAGGGGAGGGGAGGGGAGGGGAGGGAGGGAGGGCGTGGCAGGAACGGCTACGTTTCAACTGAGAACTTGTTGCCGCAAAGCTCAGTCTTTGTTCCCTTTGGAAGATGCGGAAGGAACAGCCAAACATGCTGGCCAGTTGTTTGTACCGTAGTCTGCAGCTCCTCGTGAGCTTCTTGGTGAACAGCAGAAGAAGAAGTGTCGTTGTTCGAAGGTTGCAATGACGACCCTGTTTTGGACCTCAAACAGGAAACGGCGGTGATTTGGCCACCTCTCGGTTGCAAGCTACAGGCCCCCTTTGGTCTGCACGCCAAATTCCGCCAGTGTGGCACCTGACTTCACATCGTATTTTGAGCGTGTCCGGTTGGGTGGCAGCTGGGTCAGCGCGATCATTGGCACGAAAGTGCCAAGACCAAAACTGGAGCACAGCAACATCAAATCGTTCCCCCAGCTGGGTGCCCTTTCTCACCCTTTTTTGGTTGGGAGGGTTACCCCACTAAAATAGCCAACAGAAGAAAAACTAGGGTACCAACTTATTCTAACGTCTCAAATCTGGAGGACCTAGTCAAGCTACTCGCTAGTCCTAGCCCTTGCCAGCCCAGAATCGTCAGTTTGCCACAGGAATTGATGGAACCCCTCGAGCCTCTCCTGTCCCGCAAAACAAAAACCACCTGTAGCCTTAAACATCACCTTTTGCTCGCCACCTCAAAGTGCCTCTCCTTGGAATGAGCGTTTTAGGTTGGACTCCGAAAAAGAGGAATGCTGAAGCAGTGATCCCTGAAACGTGATGGGACAGGTATGATGCATTTTATCCCCCAAAAGGGATGGAACAGATTGGTAGGTAAATGGCTCGACCCTCATAAAAAGGTTGGCTTGAAGTTCTTCCCTAAACGTAATGGGAAAGACTGGTACGAGGTACGTTGTTCGAACACCCTCGAAAATGTTTGGACAGAACATGTTCCCGAAAGATTGGTGGTTCAATTTTCTTGCTGGTGCGATTGTCTCGACCCTCCCACAAAAAACGGATCATCTTTTCTTTTCTCCTCTCTCTCTCTCTCTCTCTCGCTCCGGGCGAGGCGGCGGGGGGACGCCTCCAGCAGCTGCCGGGAGCTGTGCGGCGAGGACTTTGCGCTGCTGGAGGCGCTGGCGGCCGAGTGGAAGCCCGAGACCCACCGGCGGGGCGTTTCAAGTTCGCGGGCGGAAAGGGGGCGGCGGGTGGATTCGGTCTGGGAGTTTTGTTTTTGTTTTTTTCTTTTTCCGGGGCTACCTCGGTTTCTCCAATTTTTTTGGAGCTCCAACAGTGGCGAGCGTTTCACTGGACATCTGCAGTTTGTGTGCTTTTTTTGGCCTGTTTTTTGGTGGTTTTAAAGGGAAGCCAAGAGGAACACCCACCATGTTTGTCCGGGGCCCTCAATTCCAGCGACCCCTGTTTGTGTTTCTTTTTGGTGAGAGAACTCGTGATGCAGTTTCTGGCCGGCCCACCCGCCTCTTCTATGGCCTTTTTTTTATTAAGGGTTTCTCCCTGTTGGGTGTGTTGCAAAGGGAGACTACAGGAAAACCAAATGCCATTTCGGGGTTCCCCGATTTTCAAGGCAAAACCCCATTGATCGCCTTTTGGGTTTGTTGCAAAGAGGAAAACCCACCCATCTTCGGGCTTGCCCCATTTCAACGCCAAGAACCATTTGGTTCGTAAGGGAGGCGAAAGGAACGCCCACGACCAAAAAAACATTTGACCAAAAAAAGGAACACTAACCCATTTTGAACTGGGTTTTTCCACTTTAAGGCCAAACAAAAACCAATTTGATCATCGGCCCCGCAGGCTCTTCCCGGAGAGCGTGCGGGAGAGCGTGAAGGCCGCCCTGCTGGTGGCCCAGCGCCAGAATTGGCCGGTGCCGGAGAACGTCCTCTTCAAGGTCTGCGCGCTGGCGGCCGGTCCCATAGCGCGCGCCTGAGGGGGAAAAATCAGAAGGCCCCGAATGGAAGGATCCCTGCGCGAGCCGAATCGAAGGGAGGTTTTATTTTTTGTTTGAGTGGCATCTTTGAGGGGGGGGGGGCTGGGAAAGAGGCTGTTAGCACATGCACCTGGAAACAGGCCAAAGGGCCTATGGCTTAGCGAAATGCACGTGAAATCCAGCGCACGTTTCAATGTGGAGTTTTAATTGCGCATGTACAGATCGTGCGTGGCAACGTTCCTAGCATCGCCTCGGCAAAAAGAAGAAAGGGATGGTTGCAAAGGCCCTCGGTCGATCCCGCTCCCGGGATTCCCTTGCAGTTGGGAGCCGCGGCTGTGATGGACAATGGCCGTGGGTCAAAAACGCGTGCTGGTAAATGTATATCAGGACTAAACCAGCGGTGCCCTAGCGGTTGAGTTTTGACCCATGCCCAAATTTCTCTCGGTCGAAAATCTCGGCTCAGGCGTTCCCCTCGCAGTTAAGTCCCACCTCGTATCTCCACAGGATGGCGGCGAGGCGAATGGAGCCGGATGATGAGCGCCCGCCCCTGGTGGAATTCCCTGAGGGCGAGCCCCTGGCAACGTCGAAGCGTTTCTGCAGGTGCCGCAGAGAGCCTTGGCAGTTTTTTCGGCCATTTCGCGATCTGGGCTCATCGTTTTCAGCCACAAATGCGCTGTGTGCTGCTTGCCTGGTGTGATTTTGGTTGGGAATGTGTCAAGCAAGGGACGTCTGCATTGGCTTCTTTTGGTTTTTGCCTGGGTTGCCTATACGTTCCCTCTCTTTTGAGCATCACCTTTTGGAACATGTTCGCATGTCCTTTGGGGCGATGCTAGGGGAACATTTCCACAGAGACTGAGGAGGTCCTGCTGCTGCCGCTGATGATGGCGTCCGCGGCACTGGGTGCCGGCCTGACCGTCAAGCTCCAAACGCCCGTCAGAGAAGTCCACGTCCATGGCAAGAGCTACGCCCAGATCAAGGAGTCACGTTGATTCACAGTGCCCGGAACCGTGCAGGTTTTGACCTTGAAAAGGGCAAGCCGTCAGACTCGTCTCTCGCGGGTTTTGGAGGGCACTCTTGGGATCTTGAGCCGAACTCTCTCTCTCTCTCTCTCTCACTCCAAGACTTCAAGAAAAGCAAAGGGACACAACTGAAACTGCTGGCTCTCCTTTTGTAGCTGAGCAACGACTCCCTTCCTTCCCCTGCAACCAGTTACCCCTCCGGCTTGCGAAAACGCACGACATGATCGACAAACGGTACGGTGGATGCCCGAAATATTAGGGAATAATAAGGGAAACCCAGTAAATGGCCCATGGTATGTGGTTGGAGACAACTTGCAACATTCAGGGCAGTCCCGCTTTTTTTCTCGGCATGGTGGTTTTTCAAAGGGAAGCCAGAAGCAAAAGCATCCATTTTTTGCGGCCCCCTCAAAAAATGACACACCCGGAACTCCTGCACCAGTTCTGGATGAAGCCCGATTTGAATACTGGGATTTTATCCACCTATCTGTCTTGTTTCTGAGGAACCCTCCAACATTGGTGGTTTCCTTTTTGGATTCCCTGTAACACCAACCAAAAAGGGTTTCGCCCAAGAAAGACAAACTACCTAACTGGTGCAAGAGAACGGGCGTCGTTTTTTTTTTTTTTTGGCGTACCCTTTTTGGGGTTGGTGTTCAAGGGAACGCGGTCCATATTGTCCATCCCTGTAAATCAACCCCAAAACGAGACCCATTTCGGGCTCGGTTTTTAAGTTGAACCCAAAACGCAAACCCGGAAATCACCGTTTTGGAGGTTTTCCGGACCCCAAACATGAGGCAACCGGATCACTCCCTCCCCCCCCCTTTCTTCCTGCCCCCACAGCCCCCACCTCCCCAGCCCCTCCCTCCCCCTGTGTTCTGTTTTCCAGACCATTGATCTCCCGCAACATTTGGCTCAAGGCCCCTTTTGCATAATCACGACCATCCGAGCGTGAGGACAAAAGAGCCATTGCAGGCCGCTTACAGGATTATCCATCAGACAATCCACCAGGGACAATCCAGCCTCCAATCATCCATTACTGGCATATTGGACTCTCTCCGGAATAGATCCAGGGACCAACAACGACCTCAACTACCACAGGGTTCCAGTTCCCTCCGGGGATAGGCACCTGGGGCAGTGGGCCTCAATTTGTGGTAGCGGAGCGGGTTTTCCGCAGAGATCCAAGGGAGGATGTCATCAGATGGAGAAGGCTTCATGGAAGCCTATACAAGTTCGGCAAAGCCGAGCTACACGGAGGAAACACTTAATTTATCGATGACCGCCAAGCAGCCGCCATCGTACGACGGAAAAGTCAGCTGGTTCAGGTATGAAGAACTCGTGGACGACTGGGTGACAATCACCACAGTAGAAGCAGCCAAGCGAGGTCCATTGCTTAAGAGCAGACTCACTGGAGATGCTTACATGTACAAGGCCGTCCTCCAAAATGACCTTTTGCAAGATCCTGATGAAGGAGTCAACTATTTCAAGAACACGCTGAAGAAGTACTTTTTGAAAGGTGCGACCAACGTGTATCTGTACAGACTCCTCAGTTTCTTCAACCACAGAAGGCAGAACCAAGAGTTCCTCATTTTTACCTCAAAATTCGAAATCCTTCTCATGAGATTGAAGGCAGCATGGATGGACTTGATGCCAATCTTCACGGCACGGTCTCCATCATTTCGACAGTCCGTACAGGACGCAAATGCAAGAACAATTGCTCGACATCAGCAAGCAGCCGGTGCTCGAGCACCGCCTCCAGCCCTGCTAAATGAGGACGATCCTACAGTCCTCAGACAATATATCCAAGGAATGCAGGACAGACTGCGGGACGCATTTCCCTTCGGGGATAATCTCATTGCACAGTTTTTCATTATACAAAGTGAGTTGTCAGATCAACAAAGAGAACGACTCACAAGTGCAATGTCATTGAGGAACATCTCACTCGAGAATTATTCCTATGAGATGCTGAAGACACACTACCATGAACTCTTCATCACAACGAGGACATCGATCCAAGATCCATCCATCCGACCTCAAGGAGGCAGCCGAAGCAACACATTCTTCATCATCGAACAAGGTGAATATGAAGGAGAAGAAGGCTTCTGGGTTGAGGATGAAGAAGGACTTGAAGGATTCATGTCAAACAACGATGAAGAGACGTTCTGGGTCCTCGAGGAGAACGATGCGTTCATAGCAAGAAAAGTGTCGGGGCGGAACTTCAAGTTCAAGAAAAGAAAAGGGAAAGGAAAATCAGGAAACAAGAAGGGCAGTCCCCAACGAGGTGGCTTCAAACCCTTCAGAAAAAGCGGTTCTGGCGGAAAGGCCAATATGGCCAACGAAAACTATGATCCCTACGACCAGGCATATTGGGGAAAAGGCAAAGGAAAGAAGGGAAAGAAAGGAAAGTCACAATTCCAATATCCCTATGATGGAAACAAAGGTTATCCATCGGCATAGGTAGGCTCCATGGATGGTGCAGTCTGCTGGATGGCGGGCTGCTCCTCCATCTTTTCTGCGGTGGCTGCGAACGTCTTGGATTTTCCTTTTTCCTGTCCGCTCTTTCCTTTGCCACTCTCATAGCAAGACTGGGATCAATCATGGACATGGAACGAACATGGCTGGTACTCATCCCATGAGACATCCAGCACAGGACAAGCGTTAATGGCATTCCATGATGCATATGAGTATCCTGGGAAAAAGGCCATCCACGAGAAGCTGATCCAATCAGATGTCACGACAAATCACAGCCTTTTGGCAACAAAGCTGATGGCGCCTGTCATCAACCCTCAGCACAACCCGACCTATGCGATTCTGGACAACGGATGTACCAGATCTATGGGCAGCTGGCATGCAATCCAGCGTTTTACCCAGGCAATCGAACCAATGACGGACATCATCTCCTACGAGTACATCCCGGCCGAGACCAAGTTCACTTTTGCAAACGGAGAGACCGCCAGGGTAAATTGGACCCTGCATCTTTGATATCACACAACTCCTCCGAACATCGACATCCTTGAACAAGGAACTGTACCGATCCTTCTCAGCATCAGCCAGATGCGGAATCTCTACATGACCATCGAGCACACACCTCAATGTGACAAGATCACATGCAAGGCGTTTGGCATGAACCGTCAAGCAGTTCCAGTATCCGGTACAGGACATGCGCTCGTCGATCTCGCTGGAGTTGCAAGAGTGAAGGCACATGGAGAAATGGCTCACAAGGGCCTCACCAACTATGTCTATGACGATGATAACAGCATCAAATTTCCCTCCGGGGATCTCACCAGGAGCGAAACTGTTTGTGCAGCAAAATCATCCGAGACAAAGGAGGACCTAGCAGCTCCTAAGATCATTGGATCTCAAAAGCAGGACCATTGGATCCTTGACAAGAAGAACAAGCAGCTCATCCGTGTGCATATCACGCCCCGAAAGTGGAGCCAAGGAATGTCCAATCAATCCTGATCACATCAGCCGAGAACGTACCACGGAGACCATTGATGCATCCACAGGTGGAGATCCAGATATCTTGGAAGACAATTGGAGACTTACATCCCAGGCAAATAAACCGATGATGAACCTGTGGATAGGTAAGACCATTTTCACCTTCTCAGACAATTCGCTGAAGGACGTAGAAGCAGGTTCAGGATCGGCAGCAGACAGGATCATCGACAAGAGGGGCCAGTCGACTATTGAGCCAGATCCTTTCGCACCATCCTCAGAAGAACCAACATCGCTTCCGCTTGCCCTAGGCAGAATCCACAAGCGACTGTCGAATCCAGAAGAATTGAAGAAACTCCACCTGCAGCATCATCACATGACGACAGATCAATTTCGATTTAGAACCCGAGCACTTCATTTGCCGAAGTCAACATTCGATCTATTTGACAAGATCCGAAGTGAGTGCGAAGTTTGCCAAGTGGCGAAACATGCACCATCACGAAGCAAGACAAGCGGACTTCGAGCGGACACCTTTGGTGACATGACATTCATTGATCACTGTCAAGTTCCTCTTGGAACTGGAGAACACATCATTGCTTTTGTCATCCTGGATGGAGCAACAACATTGCTCACTGCAGAGGCAGTGACAACTACGCAAGAAGTCGAGAACATCACTGTCCTCCGGAACTATTTTGACCAGTGCCACTTGCAGCCCAAATCAGTTGTCGCAGATCAAGCCTTCATGACAGATGCATGGGAACATTTCTATCAGTCCCTTGACATCACTCCGATATCTCTGGGACCAAATACACCATGGCCAAATCGAGCTGAAGCAGCAGTTCGACTCCTGAAGGCACAACTCAAGATCATGCTGAGTTCCATCAAAGCAGGCACTGCACCTGCAACACTGAAGAAAGTGACCTATAGGCAACTGGTGAAGGCCGCTGCAACTGTCAGGAATCAGACCGTCACCTACGGGGGAGTAACTCCATTGGAGCTCGCATTCGGAAGACGACCAGCAGATCTCATCCAACTCGATGCCGCAACTCCAACTCAGTTGACGATTGACAGGAATGAAGAAGAGATGACAGCCATCCAGATCAAGCAGCTGTCAAAGCAAGCTTTCCAAGAAGCACGTCAATCCGAGGACATCCGACGAGACCTTGCTCAAAATCTCCGAATGAGTTCAAAGCCTCTTCAGGTGAAGGACAAGGTATTTTACTGGCAGGAAGACAAATCCAAGATTCGTTCCGATGGAAGCAAGGGAGGAATATGGCTAAAAGGAAAAGTCATTTCCATTGAAGGAGCAATGGTAGGACTTGATCTTGGGACTCGACTCATCAAGGTTAACATGACGAAGCTCAGGAAGGATGTCCTGTTGCCTGAAGAGCGAGAATCCTTGCAGAAGGAGCAACCAGGCTCCTCTGTAGATACCAAGAAAAAGGAATTATCCGCACCAGCTCCTAAGCCAAGATCCTCAGTGCCATTACGTATCGCGGGAAAAACAACTCCAAAACCTGCAGTAC